CATGGAGTGACTCCAGCACGGCGCGGCCCAGCACGGCTCCAGGCAGGCGGCGGTCATGAATCGAAGCCGACACGACATAGACACGACACGAGCAGCCCAGGCCGCCGGGCCGGCATGCACACCGCAAGGCCCCGGACTCCCACGCCAACGGCTCCTCTCTCCGCCGTCAGGACATCCAGGACATCGGCCAGGCCATCGGCCAGGACATCGGCCAGGCCATAAGGAAGCAGGAACAAAAACACAGCGACCTTTCCGTCCCCGACCAGCGCCGTCCATTTATCGGCATCGATTTTTTTTTCGGTGTCTGCATCACAAAACCTGCCCCTCCCCTTCTGTCAAATTCATCAAGTTGTTAAGGGGGATGCCCAAATATGGCACATGCCGAGGCACGGGCCTGCTGCCTTGCCTGCTGCTTCGCGGCGGGGCGCGGGGCTCCGGGCCTACCGGTTCTACCGTCCCAGACGAACGAGCGTGCACCCATCACAACACCGGCAAGCCGAGCCGAGCCGGACCGAGCCCAGCCGAGCACAGCCAGCCCTCGTCAGAGGACGGCCTTGAATTAAGGCAGACTGACCGGGTGCCCTGCCAGCGCCAAGCGCTACCGACTGCAGACTGCAGCACTCCCCCCACCACGCCTCGGACCACGCCGCGCCGCGCGGAGCTCGGACACTCGGCTCGCCCAGTAAATGAACGGGGATAAATTGAGGCATTACTTCGACCTTGCCGTTTCGTCCTGCAGACTGATTCCGAGAGCCGTTTCCATCGCGGTCCCTCTCACAGGGCGTCCCGTGTACGTGCGAGAGAGACAGACTCTCGGAATCGTGTCTGTGATACAGCAGCAGGGCGGTGTTGGGCGCGGCGAGGCGTGTGACTGTGTGACTCACAGCCCGGCGCCGCCGCCGGTGGGCCTAAACGCGGCGAGGCGGACGGACAACGGACAGACAGACAGACAGGACGGCAGGGCGGTCAGCACACGCGCCAATGGAGCCCAAGCGGAGCGCGGTTCCAAAAATCAGCCAGCTCGCTGTGTTAATCGTCGAATCGCCCCGGGACGCCGCGGGCGCCAGCTATTGGCACGGGACAAATTATGGCCCACGATGACGTCACTCGGAGGGCGGCGCACGCGCTGCACGCGCTGCACGCGCCCACACAGGTCGCCGTCGACGAGTACCTTCCCCCTCCCCACCCCTCCCGCCGGGAGTGTTATATTTGATGTGCGTCGAGTGGGAGCTAGCGCGGACGCGGAGAGTCCACACGCCGTGGGAGGCGCGAAGGAGCAGAGGAGACTCTTCCAGACGCTGCCTGGCGTAGCACCATAAGGCGTCGCTCGGCCGGCGCGACGCGGCGCCACACTACTCTTTAGCCACACCTGAGCGATCATCCTACTTTGGCGGGCGGCGAGGCGCGTGCCGCCAGTGTGCCGCCCGTCGCGCTGACGTCGCGGACGTCCACGTCTCCGCGGGTCAACGAAACGAGGAGGAAAATGGACGCTCCACTCCACCCACAGGGCCTCCTCCGCGACCTTGGCGAGCCGCGCGCCGCGCTGCGGTCCGCTGCTGCAGTGACGCCGCCAGCCTGCCGCCTTTTATCGCCAACACTTTTGACTTTACTGCGCGGCCGCGCGGCCCGGCCGTCGACGGGGTGCAGCCCGGCGCTCCGTGGCTCTGTCTCACTCGCACCCCTACGGAACGCCCCACGAGTGTGAGAGGGCCAGAGCGACGGAAGGGTGGTTCGGAGGCAGCCACGGCGGTGGGTTCCATAGGGTTCCCTTAGGTTCCGCGTTGGGCCCCTGGGCCGCGCTCGAAGAATTCCTGCGCCGCTGGCCTTCAAGGACCGCCGCAAAAGTTATTACCAAACGCACCCGCCCGACTAAGTTGGCCTTTTTTGCCTGCCGGCCGTGCGGGCCGTGGCGGCGAAAGCCTGGCACACTGGTATTTGGCGGGCGAGACACAACAAGGGAGGCTGCGGAAGGGGAGGCCGTGCTGCGTGGTCACGTCGCTCTGTCTCTCTCGCACCCCTACTGCACGCCCCGTGAGTGCGAGAGAGACAGCGACGAGTGCCCCAAGTCAGCCTGCAGAGAGGCCCGCACGGCCGAGGCCCGCAGTCACTTAGGGCCGCACAAACGTACATTGTGCTGCGAGGCTGCCAGAGTCAAAGAGAATAAAAACAGAGGGCCGACGACACGACGGCCTCGACGGGGGAGAGGGCGACCGGGGGGAACGCGAAGCAGAAAGGGAAGGCAGCGCGCATGCCGGCCGGCCGGGACCAAGCGTTTTACATGTGTCTCGTTTAATTGTTGGCAAACTACTAATGAGGAAGGAGGGAAAGGGTGAGGAGTCGAGGACAGGGGGACGGGGTGACCAGGTTGGACCATGCAGCACACCTTGGCCACCTCGAGGTGGGGCCGGGCAGGGCAGGGCAGGGCAGGCCGACAGCAACTGGGTCGCCGCTGGGCTGGGTCGTCCTGGCGACAAGATTAAGATACCCACACCCGATCGTACGAGCGTTAGCGGGCGTTAGCCGGCACAGCGCCCCGCCGTGCATGCACTGGCCTTGAGACTCATACACACTCTCTCACACACATTCACTCACACTCACACACACACAAGCACACATACGACTTTTCGTCCGCAACCACGGCGTTGAAATTCCTCGCGGGCATACAGTCTGTCGAGCGACGCCTCGCCACGCCGCCACGCCCCATCCGCGCCTCGCCTAGGCTCTGCAGGCTGCTAGCATTCCGAACAGAGCATTCGACGCTCTGTCTCTCTCGCACCCCGGATTTTCCACCAATGCATATGCGGCATGTTGCTCCACGGGCACAACGCGCACAACGCGTCCGCGATGCAAAAGCCATTTGCACTCGGAGGCGCGGGGCGCGGGGGCGTCGGAGCACTAGTGGCGTGGCGTGCTGCGCGCAACACGCGTCTTGAAATCGAAAGGTCCATTTCGTAAGCGCGTAAAGCGGCACTAGAGGCGTGGGTTCGACCCGCGCCGACCTCTCCGGACACGCATGAAAATCAAAGTGCTGATTAGGCGCCGCCAATTAAAACTCTTCGCTCAGACAAAAGCAGCGGGGCGGGGCGGGGCGGGCGCATGGCTGGATGGCCGTCCTGGGCGCCCTGCCAGCACGCCGGCAGACTACAGACCACGGTCATGGGCCGCCGGGGCCGCCGGGGAGCCGCCACACTGCCGCCACGCCGCCACGCCACCGCCCGGGTCGGGTCGGGTTGACGGCGGCCATGCGCGACCCAGGGGCTCCCTCCCACACACCAAAACAAAGCCCCTCCGCCCCTCCCCTCTTTGCATATTTCTTTCCGGCAAGTTCGTGCCGATACGCCGCAGCCCTCGCTCAGTGGCCTCCAGCCACGCACCAAGTTAACCAAAGCAAACACTCCATGAAGCACTCAGTTTTATGGCAGGGAGTCGACTGCAACTGCCCTTCCCGGCGGCGCCGCCACGCCGCTACCGGTGGGGGGGACGCGGAGTACTACGCGGAGCCACGCGGGGCCCTTGCCAAGGGCCGCGCCAGCCCGGCCAGTGTGTGCGATCGGAATAATAAATTGCGAAATAAAAGTCGACCGCGCGAGTTGAAATAAAGAAGGCGTGCAGTTCGTTCACTGGCAGTGCGTTTTGCGAGCCCCGCCAGCTCCGCCAGCCTCGCCAGAGCTGTGTACGGCCAACTCGTCTCGCACCCAGACCCAGCCCAGGCGGTACCGACTCGAACCCACCTTGGTGGCCGCGGGCAAACCGACATGCTCAGTGACTTGTTGCGGCGTGTATCTGGTCACAGCCCTGCCCCGCCCTGACCACGGACACCAGGGCACACCAGAGCGCAACGTGCACGCAAGGGGTTGTTTGCCCTGCCGCACTCCCACCCGGCTAGCTCTGTCTTGTTTGGTCGGTCTTTCTCTTTTTTGAAAACGACCACGGCACACACACTGCAAGCACGCGGCGAGGCGCAGCCGGCGCAGCACACAAATAATTGCAACGAAGCAAGAAGGGGGGACATGAGGGCGGGCAAGGATGGCCGAATCGTTCCCTCCGCTTTCTGGGCATGAAGGAAACCAAGTCTCTAGGTACGCGACTGAACCGCTTACTGCCTTGGAGTGCTGCGTCGCAGGGCAGTCGTCGCCAGCAAGCTCGACGTCGAGCGAGCCGATCAGCGGGAACACAAAATGCAGGGCCACGCAAAGCGCGCCAAGCGCGCAGCAAAGCGCCTCGCCGCTTGCATTGGCACGGCCTCTGCTTATTCTTCTCCCGCTTGCGCTGCTTGCGACGCTTACCGCGAGGCGGTGCCGCATAGCTTCGGCACAATCGCACATTCGTCCCGACTAGAGGGCGCCCCCATCGAGAGGCCAAGAAAGGGAAAGAGTCTCCGCCACGCCACCCTCCAACTACTCTGCTCCCCGCGCACGGGCTGTCCGCAGCCGCGAGGCGGAAACAGACTGGAGTCGCGGGTCCCGGCCGACTAATTTGGTGATAATCTCTCGACTCGCCCTATTTATTTCGGCCGGCCGGGTGTTATCGCGAGTGAGAGAGACGAGAACAACGACAAAGTCGACCAAACTATCGCCGATGGGATGTAACATGGATGTCAGCAGGATCCACCGAGCATAGGGAAGCCCAATGGCTGTTGGCCACTTTAGTGGTTTGCTGCTCCGCTAGAAGGAAAATCACAACAAGGACCATCAAAAGACTGCACATGGCCGGGGGAAGGACCAGGTCAAACGCACAGGAGGGGAAGGTTAGGTTAAACCTAGGTGAGGTAAGGAGTGAAGATGGAGCGGGGGATCCAGAGCCGGCTTGAGGGGGGTAGAGCTCTTTTTGCCCACCAATAGGAACAAAGTGTGGCTTTTTGCCTACCTTTCAGGCGGCTATCAAGGGGTCAAGGGGGCATTGTCCTTTTGAACCTGGGATGGGCGGGGGGGGGGGGGGGGGAGAGAAAGGGGACAGTCAGCTGTGGGTCGAACAGCACCGCACCGCCAATCAGCTCTCACCTTGTGTGTCACAGCCAAAACGCATCCATGCAGGTCCTCCAACAGCGGGACGAGGACACAGACAGCAGAAGGGACGACTTGAACGGAGGAAGTAATTTATCCAATCCCTTTCTGGCAGGCACCTTTCACTACACTTTGATACACCAATCGGCACTTGCTTCTCCTGGCGATACACTGTGTCGCAGGGTTGTCCTGGGACAAGACTTCACCACACTCAGCACTCACTTCCAGGCCGATGAACTATCAAGCCTGCGCTGACAGTCACGCACACGAACACGCAGATGCCAACACTTGACCTGCCACACTCCTTGCGGAGCACACCCAACACACCCACCCACTCACGGACGCACGTCGGCCAAGACGAGAGCCGAGCCAAGCCGGGACGAACGCCCACGGGCTTACGGACCACTCCGAACCGCGGCGCGAATCGAACTGAGCGCGCTGGCAGGCGAAGACCGTGGCAAGCCTGCTGCTCCTGCTGCTCGGCTCGGCGCGGGGAAGACCGGAGAGGGGGGCGGGGCTCGCGGCCTGGCGGCCTGGCGGGGCGCTTGACACCACCGGCTCGGCTTCGGGCGCAAGCTCGGCTGTGCTCGGCTCGGCTCCGAGCGTTCGGCGAGCTCGCTCGGCACGAACGGAAGCCGAAGGGGTCGGAAGGGAGGCGAAAGGGATTGGGGGAACGGGATGGGGGATGGTACGGGGTCGGGGATGTGGAGGTCGGGGCCGAGGGGCCGACAGGCCGAGGGAAGGGCCTCCTGGAGAAGCAAGACCAAGGGGGTAGCGGAGCCACGAGGCTGCACTGCAAGGCGAAGGGGAACGCCCGAGAAAAGAAAAGACAAACCGCAGGGACGGAAAGAGACGGCAGGACAATTGAACAAAGTTTTGGTTGGTCATATTCAACCACCTAAATGAAATGCTGACGGCTTTATATGTGGCGACCTGTCCTCTTGTTCTTCGTTTTTGCCAGTTTTGGACACCGCCACTTAATGCCGCACGGGCCGCATTAGCAGCTGATTAGCAGTCAGTCGTAAAAAGCTGGGCCCCTGGCAGGTGGAACGTGGAACGTGCTAACGTGTCGTCAGTCGTGCCAGATTCTCATTTCAAACTGCGCGCCACCAGCCACCGCCTTGCGACTATCGACGTCACCCCTTCCTTTCCTCCCCTCCCCTCCCTCCTCTCCCTCTGCCCCCAAGCGTCACTCTTTTGTTTCTTTTGGTACACGGTTAAAGGTGGTGAAAATACAGCTGAGCATTCAATTCGTAAACATTGTTTCCAACATCTTTCATCTCTATCTAGTTCTGCTCCTCTTTTGGACAGTTCTTCAGAAATTTCTGCTTCAAACATTGATGTTTACTGCCCGATAATGTTAACTTGACGTTGTATGGCCTGTGCTGGAGCTGCCATCTTGGTTAATAAAATGGTGGTTGATATCCGAGTTACGTGGAACAGTGTTCCGAACCTTTGAGTAGACAGAACAACACCGTCAACATGGATCAAAAAGCTGATCCGGAGATGAAAGGGTGGTTGTCCAAGTGGACTAACTACATTAAGGGATATCAGCGTCGTTGGTTTGTGCTGTCAAATGGATTCTTATCATATTACAGGTATGTGGCACATAGAATGAAATGGCTATAGGCCAATTCAATGACATTGTGAAAGTTAGGAATAACTTTATGCCGTGTTGGTTCAGTTTACTTGAACTTTTTGCAAATGCGAAATTCCCTTTATTTAACCTTGAGTGAATGTACCTCATGTACTTTGTCGCCGTCCGCCCATCTGTCCATAGGTTTAGAGTGACACTGTCATCCTTTCCTCTTAGATCTTTTCAGCCAAAATGATTAATCACACATTGGTTTTATTTGACTTCGGTTAAAAATAATTGATAAACTTTTCATGCTTTGAATGGGGCATGATTGTCATTCTTGGTTGTTATTACTGTTTTAGGTTGTTTCCAGAATAGTTGTGTAATATGACATCACCATATTTTGAAACACACATCAGTACTGCTCCTGTTTATCCTAGGGTGTAAATAAATTAATAAAATTTTAACAGACACAGTTACATACATTAGTCCTGTTTTCCCACACGTCAAGTTTGCACTGCAGATATATTTTTCTCTCTCGTCCGGAAATTGTTTCCCCTCCCTATCCATTTCAAAGTAATGAATAAGTACTTATTTTAGGGAAGAAAGTCCAAAGGCTCCTAAGCTTTCCTTTCGAGCGAGGAGGTTGCGGCGGACTCGTAGTGAGTAAGTGCGTGTGAAAGCCCAGCGTGCTCCGCCACCCCTCTTGAAGTTTATGGGTATCACTGCATGATGAATTTTACGCAGACAGTGTTTAGGAGATTATCTTAACCTTTTGTGTGTTGCATTCTGCTCATTTACCTCATACTTGCTTCATCTAAAATATTCCCAAATTACTTTCTGTCTACTATGTGCTGAACCAAGCTTCTAAATTGTGTGGTAATTTTGTACCGAAAACTCTAGGCACATAATTATAGGTTGACACTCAAGTGAAATGCAGAGGAACCTTAAAAAGATTTTTTTTTCACTGTCCCAGAGGACACAGCTTCTCTGTGTTAGCAGGCCACCCTGTCACTCTTGCATTTGCAAGCACCTTGTGAGGCATTATATGGAACGCATACATTAACTTGATTTTGCATGTCAGTTAGCCAAGCAAGAGCTAAAATCCATTGTACTGATCTTTCTCTTGCACTTTTGTATGACACTCTGGCAGCTGCTACTTTTTGAGGTTCTGCTGTTTGTGTTAGATTATGAAAGAGTTTTTGTATTTTCTACAATATTACCAAAGGAAATTTATGTAAACCACCAAGCAGTCTTTTTTTTCTTTTTCTTCTTTTTAGACCACTTTTATTCATGTGGTGGTGTTGTACTGTTGTGTGGTCACATATATTCAATTTCATTAGATATATTCTTTTATGTCTATTCTGATTGTCATGTTTAATGTTTGTGTCTGTATTAACAGAAAATTTTTATTTTGGAAGGTCAAGTGAAAGGAATTTGACCAACCGCACTTCTGTGTTTCGTTTACAGAAATCAGGCTGAAATGGCGCATACCTGTCGGGGTAACATCAGCCTTCATGGTGCCATGATTCACACAGAAGATTCCTGCACATTTGTTATTTCAAACGGAGGCACACAGACATTCCACATAAGAGCTGCTAATGAAGTGGAACGACAAAGATGGGTGACTGCCTTGGAGCTAGCCAAATCTAATGCTATAAGAGCCATGGAATCAGGTAAAATTAATTTTCTTAACCCTTACAGCCAGTCTTTGGTTCTTTTCTAGTGTAATGAAAGAACATGTGCCTACATTTTTACCCACATTCTTACTCATATTTTTATTTATTCCAGATGAAGAGGATGAAGCAGTTTTGCAAGAATCATCTCAGGGCCAGGAAGCTGAATTAGCTAATATACTGAAAAATTTATCTGCTCGCTTGGATGATTTACAATCATGCAATGATTTAATTGTTAAACATGGTACAGCTCTTCAGCGATCACTATCAGAGCTTGAAACACTGGAAACTGCAACTGATGTTCCATCCAAAATCAAGGCTGTGAATGAACGAGCAACGCTATTTCGCATTACGTCGGCAACTGTGATAAATGTAAGTATTTTAAAAACATGATGGAAGATAAAAGGGAACGTCTACAAATTACTCGAAGCGTTTTGGGGACGAGTTTAAATACTGACGGCTAAAATTAAGGATATCTGGTGCCTTATCACTGTTCATTATGAAACTATTAGTTATTCTCTCATGCCTCAAAGTTTCTTCTTAAGTACCGATAGGTGTATTCCTTTTTTGTTCAATTTGTGGTTGAAAAACTCAAGCATTTGGACCCGCATACGTTAACACAAGACCTCAGTTTGTAATGCTTCTCATCACCGCGTCCTGAGTGCGGGAAAAGTCAGGAGGTGGTTCTGCAGTTCGGCTCCGCAGGATTTCTCAGTGCACCTGTACTCTGCCGCCCCTCCGTTGGGGTCGGGGGCCCACCTCCAGGGGCGTAGGGGCGGCGGCGAGCGGAGGCCAATGGGTGTGTGGGGGAGGGGGGGGGGGCACGGCTTGCATGGCGGGAGGGTTCGCTGGGCGAGGGGCGAAGCGGGTAGGGAGGGAAGGGCGAGGTCCGCAAGTGCTGTGACGTCATAGCGCTGTTTGAAGCTGTGTTGCCACCACACGCGAACAAAGTGCAGGCCTAAATTGAACTTGCTTTGTCTCGATTCGCGTCAACAGCATTCGTCCCCGCCTTTATTTGGCTCTTAAGTCACCCACGTATGTTGTTTGGAGGGAACATGTCGTAGTTAAGGTCGGTTTGAATAGTGGCGTTAGTTTGTTGTGTCGGGTTGGGGAGGTCGGGTGACAGCTGCCGTAGCAGCAGAATCTTTCTCGTTTCTCTAGTCGTGTGTTAGAACTGCGCATCGTCAGCGTTTGCTTCTTCTTGAGGCGTTGGTGCTTGTTTTCTTATCTTCGACGAGTAAGTTTTCATGCCTCGGGAATTTTCGTCTTATCCTGCAATAGTCACCGCTGGGCGCTGTGTTAACGGGTAGACGGTCGTTTCGATGAAGGTTATGGGCCGCCACGACGTTGCCGTTGTTTGTAGTCAAATGTCAAGTTGTTAATCGGGAACCATTGTCACATTCTTCTGTTTCGTCTCACAAGTATCAATCAATGTGAATCATTTGATATGCCAATTATTTGATGACCGTGTCTGCACGTTGCTCTGCTTGGTGATGCTGTATTATTGATTCTTTTTTGTTGAATGAGACAGAAATTTGGAAATGGCATTGGGTTTAGGAGGTTCTAGTGATGCAGTGTAGCCTAATGACAAACAGTTTATAATAATTAAAAACTTGTTGATTAATTATAGTTTTTCTTACGTTTAGTTTGGAGACAAAAGCATGCTGCTTTCTTTCTCTTAGCATTTTTTCATTTGGTTGCAGGCATGTGCAGATTATTTGCAGCTTGCCCAATCTCAAGGCCGAAAATGGCAGAAGATGCTTCAGCATGAGCGCGATCAGCGACTACGACTAGAAGAAATTGTGGAACAGCTTGCAAGGCAGCACTCTCACCTGGAGCAAGCTGCCAAGGATCATCAGACTCCGAGAACTAGTATGTGGCCCATTAAAATTTTTATCTTGGTAGTGTTTAAATTGTTTGGTTGATGTTTGTGACGTTCATCTTTCTGCTAGGTATGCCCCATTCGTCACCATCTGACGAAGACGAAGACAACGAATTTTACGACGCTCAGTCAGATCAAAGTCATTCAGAAAATCAACAAAACTTCATCATCAAAATCCCAATGGGTCACCGCAGAACATCATCTGCCGCAAGTTTAGGCTCACAGGTACTGTCCCATCAACATCCACCTCCTCTTGCATCTGTGCGCCATTCCTCTTTCTCTAGTCCTGTCGCTCCTCTTGTTCGGTCTCATTTACAGCATAGTAGCCTAGACTCACCATGTATACGACATAAGAGTGAAAGTTCTTCACCTATTACCTCAGACCGCAAACTCAAAAGACACCGTCCTCTATCAACTTCATTTCTAACCGAACATTTTGCTCATCTGCTCTCTGACAAGCCTAAACCTAGACGAGAGTCTGCTATATTTTACCGTCCATTAATAAACTTAACAGATCCTCCTCCTGAGAGAGACCTTCCCCGTGCTAGTAGCTGGAAAGCTGAAAGGAAAATCAAGCATAGGCGAAACATGAGCGATGAATTACGTTTAGATCAGATAATATTCCCCAGACCAGCTCAAGTGTTAGCAGAAAATGCCTTTAAGCCATGCTCAGGCAGCCCATTGGATTACAGTAAGACCAGAAAACAAAGCAAACATCTTCATCTGAAATCATGATGTAGCATTCCTTTCAAGTTGTAAGAAAATTTAATTAGCTTCATGCAGCTGAATTGGCAGCTACAATCTTCAGTTCATCTACAAAATACTTGAATCAGTAACCTATCCTGTATTCTTAGTGAAGGTGTAGTGCTTCTGTTTTGGGGGTGAAGTAGGACCACAGAGCAGAATTCTGCTCCGTGGTCTGGGAAGTTAAAAAGTTGCATATCCATTCATAGTAAGGAAGGTTTCACACTATTATCAAAGAACCAATATTTGTGGAATGTACAGCTTGTAACAGATCATCAGTATTGCAAGAATTCTACTTATTCCATTTTAAAATTGCAATTATCAATGATCTCTGCATGAAAAGTTTGATAAGTACTAGTATGGTTCCAGTGCACGTTAGTCATGTTAGAAAAACAATCACTTTTTCCACACCCTCTTGTCATTCTTCTGTGTATTTATGGACATTATACTGTGTGAGGTAATAAGGCATGTCTTTTCCTTTTGTTATTGACTGACTTCAATCATTTGTGTTTTGCTCAAGTGGTGGAACTGTTCTTCTTTATGCATTGTGTATGCCTGCTTGTCTAATAGCATTTCTCTTGCTGTAGCTTTTGTCTGAATAACTTCTATTCCATAGTTCACTTTCATTATTTCCCAACTACTTCTGCAGGTATCACTCAGCTTTAATATGCCTTACTACTCTTCTTTTCACATATTGTAATGTATTTCCATGCTGTGAATGTAATAATTTTGGTTTTAGATAGACTTTAGCTATCTGCCATTGATGACTTGTGTCTTAGTGAGCATTTCTATTGTTATTCGTAACTGTGCTAGAGCCCGGTTGAGAAGTCAATTTTCATAATTGTCAAAAGAAATAGCTTTTCAAAATATACTGAAGAGTGCTAATAGTTCAAGAACTAGATTTGAGGCACCTTAGAGTGTTTGCAATGTTACTGCAAATTGGAGGGTTGATGCCTTGCTCATGCACTGTGCCTTCTTAAATTTAAACAGCACTTATTTTAAGTTTTGTTCTATAATTTGGCTAGTGCTACTAAATGTTGGTGTTCCAAGTAAATGCCAGCATTTTGAAGAAAAAAAAAGGGAAAAAAAAAGAAACACTGGACTTATTACTATTAAAATTACACTCTTAAGTCACATAGAAATATGTTCAAGTGCATACCCTTTTGTTTTGAAAGAAAAAATATTGCTACAAGATTTTAAAGACTTACATTCCACAACTTGTTTTTTTTGTTGTTTTTTTTTTTCTAATGGAAAAACAAATTGTTTACTGCAGATCTGTTTTTTGACTGACTAAATTAGTAGCTGCTTGGATGAAATGAGGAAGCTTTCAAGACTGTTAACATTTCCTGAACTCATCTTCAAATGTATCATCAAATGGGACAATGGCTTTGATTGGTTCTTTCCTCTGCTTTGTCTTGTCTGCTAAATGATTCAAATCGTTGTCTGGGGTCTGGGGATTCAGTGATTGCTTTGCATTATCTTCTGGTGTTTTTCTTCTGCTGCTCTTTTATTCCCCTCCCAAATGGGCACTTTTGTGAAGATACTTCCACTGGCAGTGTAGAAGCTTAATGCGCTCACTGAAGAATTGTCTGAGTCTTGCAACATTCTTCAAGTAGCAAAACTGACTTTCTGATATGCGCTCAAAAAATGACCTCATTTCAAAGAAGTATACCAAATGACTTTGTTTGCTCCCTATGTATTCTTTAAGTCTTAGGTGTAAAATGTTGATCTCATAATGCCTTTAACTTATTCCATCCATTGCCTGAAATACTTCCCTATATTGTAGAGTTTCACATCCTAACTGAGAACTTAATTGATGAATACGAAAGTGATACTTGGTGACTTATTTCTTCCGCGCATTTTTTGTGAGCGCGCAGTTCCGCCACGCGCGGCTCCTTGCAAGGCTGAGGTTTTACTTGGCGGGACTGCATGCGTGCAAAAGTACAACTCAATCACGTAGTAAGACTATTTAGTTTGGTTTATTTCCAACATGTATATTTGGTTGAAAGTTAATCAGCCTACTGAAAGGGGACTTCCTTGATAGTCAATTAGTATTGTGCGATCATAATCATTTGTTCTCTCAATGAAAACAGTATCTCTGTGATAGTTTAGATTTATTAGAGGCTAGAAAAGATTTACTTTTATCCTGGTCTGGAGCACTGGATTAGATTAGTGCAGAAATTGTGTTGCTAGTTAAAACTATGGCAAAATAGTCTTATTAAGATCCTTGAAATCCAAGAGAGTAATGGGAACTCAACATAACCACTCTATACAGAAGACTCCAAAATTTGAAGTAGCGTGGCAAAAGATGCACAGGATGAAGCTAATGCTTTCCAGTGTCATTTTACATTCCATACTCTTTTGCTGCCTGTTTCATTATGTTGTCATTTATTCTTGACCTGTACTCTAATCCTTTCTTTTGTCAGTAACAGTGGAAGTCAAAAGCAATAATTTTGAAAACGTTGGGAAAGGCATTGTATTGCTTATGTTACTAAATTTATTAGGATGTAGTTTTCTAACAGTACCCATGTCTTGTTCTAAAAAATAAAATATTTTCTGTAATTTAAAATGTGTTGAAAATGTCAATTAAAGTTTTACAACCGATTTTGAGGCAGCTTTAGCCACGTTGGGAAGATTGTCCTATTATACATGACTGTGTCTCATTGAGCTCTCATTTTGCTTTTACAAATGTCTTGCTTTCCTGCAACACAGAATATCAGTCTTGGAATCAAGGTACTTATCTTCTTTGCTGTGTTAATTTATTAGAAGCATAAATTGCATTTCTGGCTATTGTTTGTTTTTTGTTTCTTTCTGAATCACAGTTTTACTTTGAAAGGAAGGAAAGGCTTCAGCTTGTTTTTGTGATCAATCCATCTTAACCCATTTTATTTTCTCTATCCCATCTTACATTTGAGTTAAATTTGCAGCCCCTATTTATGCTTGGTGCATTGATTGTGTCGATGGCTTTCACATGATTGATGATTGACATTGGCACTCAGCATTTCTGAAGTTCTCTCAATGAGATGCAATAATGTTGCTGGTTAACAATATTACTATGTAACTCAGTCTGTACATACATGTATTTTGCACTTATGATTTGAAGGAGCTCTTATCTTGCTCTTGTAGACTCAACTTTATCTTATCTTATTCTAAAGACGATTTTGCACTTGCATAAAAGATTGCCTGCTACTTGCTACATTGCTTTTAACTTGAAATGTCAGGTTTCTTATAGATCTTGTCCTTATCCTTGCTACTGCAATACATCAAATGCTTGTTTATGTATTGTTGAAGCAACCCCATGTAAAAAAGGCTGCTTTTATTCTGGTTTAAGACCTTTTTTGAAATGTTACAAGCGTATATTTCTTTTGCTTTTCACTAGATTCCTGGGAAATAATGCTAACAAGTTCTATCAGATTGTATGCTTTCACTTGTTTATAGACTTTGTTAAGGCCAAAGCCTTGTTCTGTCTGCCTGTTTCAGTTTTTCACACATGTGTCAAGTTGCACAAAAATGTACATATATGGTCTCATTCAATTAAAAGAAACATCCTCTCACTTCAGGCACATAGAGAATCGATTTTCAATAAACAATAAGTGTGAAAATTCTGTGATGATGTGGCAATATGCACAACAATTGCATTCATGTAGTGTCCAGAGAGCTGTTCTCCACTAATAAACAGTGTATATATTTTTAAAGAAATTATTTGCGTACTGCACGTGGTATCCATGTCATGTATAGATGGCTCTGAAAAGAAAAGTTAATCATAGTTTGTTAGCGTTTTTGAAGAATCTTCTGTTTATTTGCTTATTGTGTTTCATTTTTGCAGGGAGCCGATAACGGCCCCCGAGACAGCCAAGACGAAGCCTCCGGCTCAAGCAGTGATGTTGATGCAGAAACCAAGGTGGTTGTCATCAGCAGTGGGACTAATGCGGAAGCTGGGGTAAGTTTTTATTATCAGTAACAAATACACTGATTTTAGCCGGTAGGATTTTGTAACCAAATTGTCATTGTCTCAAATGTTGTATTTGCAGTCAAGTCAAAATAAGAAGGAGAGCTCTGAAGTTGTCACTAAAAAGGATTCAAACAAAGCCAGCAGTTGCAAAAGTTCTCCCAGCACTGCTGTAGGACCGCCTGCTGTCTTGCGCAAACGCCGAACGAGAGTGCCTGACAAGCCCAACTATCCTCTCAATTTATGGAGCATAATGAAAAACTGCATAGGCAAAGATTTATCCAAAATTCCCCTTCCTGTAAGTTTTGCACATTGTCTGGATGTTGGCTTCTGCCATTCCATTTTAAGACGAAGTAATATTAACCTTGTTAACTATCTTCCAGGTAAATTTCTGTGAACCTCTTTCAATGTTGCAACGTGTAACAGAATCCTTTGAGTATTCGGATATTTTGGATAAAGCTGCATTGTGCACTGACCCATGTGAGCAGATGGCTTATGTTGCAGCATTCACGATATCTATCTATGCAAGCACTAGCAACCGTACAGGGAAACCATTTAATCCTCTTTTGGGTGAAACATTTGAATGTGATCGAACATCTGACTTAGGCTGGAGAGCTATTTCAGAGCAGGTAAATAAGTTTAAAAATATCATTGCTTCACTTTTTTTTTTTTTTTTTTTGAGGGGTCTAATTATTATTTTCTTACTACTTACCTCACTGTGTTTCTTGAATGTAGGTTTCCCATCATCCGCCCATGGCAGCACAATTTTGTGAGGGAAAAGGCTGGCGTGTGTTTCAAGAAGTGACAGTAACTTCCAAATTTCGAGGAAAATACTTTCAAATTATTCCTCTTGGAACTTCTCATTTGGAATTCGATGCCTCTGGTACAAAATTTATTTATTTATGTTTTGGTTAAACTAGAGCACATTAGTTTTCTGATTTGGAGTAAATTTATTTGTTCTGTTTCAGGTAATCACTATACATGGCGTAATGTTACCACCACTGTGCACAACATCATTGTTGGTAAACTTTGGGTGGACCAGCATGGTGACACAGACATCATTAATCACAAAGATGGAACTAAATGTCACTTGAAGTACATCCCTTACAGTTATTTTACCCGTGATGCCCAGAGGAAGGTTCGTGGCTCAAAGTTTTTGCTGTTTAGCCTGTACGAGGATTCTAGATTTTAATTTTAAAATGTCCCTTTGCCCTGTAGGTTAAAGGCTGCGTGATGGACAAGGATGAGCAAGTTAAGTGGGTTGTAACTGGAACTTGGGATGAAAAAGTTGAAATTGCCCCAGTTACCAGTGTAGAAGGGGACAGGAGCAACCCTGTGTACAGAACGGGCCCGTACATCACAGCGTGGTTGCGTCGCCATCCGCCACCAGAAAGTGAAAAATATTACAACTTCACAGAATTGGCCTGTCAATTAAATGAGATGGAAGAAGGTGTAGCTCCATCAGATTCTCGTTTGAGGCCTGATCAGCGTATGATGGAGGAAACACAGTGGGATGAGGCGAACTCTGAAAAAGTTCGTTTGGAAGAGAAGCAGAGAGCCGTAAGACGAAAGCGAGAGGCAGATGCAGAGGCTGCAGCTGCTGCAGGTTTGTCTCATTTGACTGCACTGAAATCTTTTCCCTGTCAGACTGGCACTGTACTTTACTTCTCTTTTTATGTTTAGGACAATCATATCCTCCGTACGAACCAATATGGTTTAGAAAAGATAAAGAACCTTGGACTGGACAAATTTGCCATATTTATCAAGGAAAATATTGGGAGTGCAAAGAAAAGCAGCAGTGGGATATGTGTCCAGACATTTTTGGCAATCCTTGATGAGCCTCTTTTGCTAATGGTAAGTGAGACTGGGCCTGGGCTCTGTTTGATGCAGTGTTTTAATTAGACTTGTGGTTAATTATGATGGTCACTTATCCCTGGCAGGTGGTACATCTCTCTCCCAGCTACGAAGCAAATACTGAACATCTATTGAAGTCATTTACCATTAAGTTTGTAAGACTACTTGTGTAAATATTGTATTTAAGAGCTAGGCATTTAAATATACACTATTGTAATTTTGTTTTGGGGGAAATTATGGGGGCTAGCTAGGTATATTCAGTGAGTTAAACCATCTTTTAATTTTTTCCCCTTACCTTCAAAGTTTGTAAATATTTTTGTTAAAGTGGGACAGTTATGTAAGAATTTTGTGAATAACCATGCAATTCTGGATGGTACATGTTTGTATTTCCTCAGTACTTGCTCAAAAGAAAAGTATCAGAAGTCATGCTGGGATGATTGCAGAGAAAGAGTAACAAAAGCATGCTGTTACAACAGCAATGCTTTACTAATGTGGAATCTTGAAAATAATGTACATTTTATTTTTTCTAACAGAATCTTTTTATACTTTCATCTCCTAGGTACAAGACTAAACTAATTGTTATCATTGATTCACTCCTTTGGTTTACTCTACAGTTTATCTTCTGAACAGTGACTGATTGCACTTTGCCTTGAACACTTTAGTGGAATGTCAAGGAATGCAATGTTGATGTTTTGAGGATTTACATGTGGGAGTTCAAAAATTTGGCCTGAGGCAAATTCTGAGGATTGAAACTGCAGTCATGCCTCTTGTCAGAAAGAAAATAAAATAAAAAATAAACAATAAGGAAAGAAATTCTAGAGATTCTTTTAGTAGGTGTGTGTGTATGATGGAGAATATGTCCAAGCATGAGGTTTCATTTGTTCACTTTTTCTGACTGTGCAACAATATGTGATAGCCTGCTTGAGCATGTGTGTCCAAATATTTCTTTGTACTTGTTCTAACATGACCCCTGGTACTTGGTAGTAATTGTTCTTTTTAAGAATATTCCTTGTCTGTAGTATTGTGATGAATGGTTCGTTTTGTGATTTATGTTGATTATAAATGAAGCATCTAGAACCTGTAATGACTTCCACCAACACAAAATATGTTACGGATCATTTACATTTTCATTTGAAAGTATTGCTTTAAGCAAATCTTGTTTACTCATTATCAATACATGAGCATTCTTAATTTGTTTCCTCATTTTGTTTACTTCAAAAAATAAAAAAAAGAAAATAGCATAGAGGAGTTTCCTGGGAGAGACATGTTAAACAGGCATAATTTAGTGTTGACCAGTTAACAAGATCTATTTAGTAGGCTGCCTTATTAAATTGAATTATTTGACATACTGCTTTGCATTTTAATTTGGATTTTGCTGTTAGTTTCACTCAAATTTGACTTAAAGTTAAATATTTTATGCATTGCTAATGTTTGCAATGGCAGCGACTCCTTTGCCCATTGAATTTTGTAAAATCCAAGCTGTGATAACGTTATTGATTTAAAATAGGTTTCTTCTTTCTCTCTCTCTCCCTTTTGAATGTAGAGCCCGGTTGAGAAGGGACTTGCTTCATTAGGTTGAAGAGGTCATCATTCCCGAATCTCATTATTGTCTGACACTTTCTCGTGATTTTATTATTTGTGCATATTTCGAAGCTTGAGGAAGAGGAAGAACGGGAATATGTGGAAGTGCCTTATTGGAACTTGGGATTGTCATCTTCTTCCTAGTTAAGAGACCCCTATTTTAATTGGACCCTGCAATCAAGATATGTTGTAGAAACCTATTCACGGTAACATTATTGCACTCTGATAAAATCTTTTCATTCATGTTATGTATTATTTTTCTTGATGAGCTGTTTGCATCACAAGAAGTGGGGTGGAGCATGTTTCTTCATAAAATCTGTTCTTTTCATTTTATTTCTTTTAGATCATGAATTATGTTAGTTTACTTTCAATAAGTTTTAGAATGGAACTAACTTGCTTTTCTTTTGCTGTTGCCTTGATTCTTTTAATTAAGTACTGTACCATGTTTGAGCTGTGGGCTGCAAGTCAATTTCTGTGCTAATAATATGTAATTGTAACACATTTTTTATCTGTTATGGAGGCAAGAAATTGTCTTCATTGGATCCCAGCGAAAAGAGTCATGTGAAAAATGGTACCAGCCAAACGAGATACACTTTTGCTAATCATGTGTCTGCTTTAAGAATGGTATAGTCATTTGCTGCTGTGAACTGATTTACATGTGTCTACATCATATATGTTAGATCATGCTTCAAAAAAGAAGTTAGGAATGAATTTTTGAAAAATGTTTGAGGTATTTTTAACGAAGTTCATATTTTATTCTGTACATATGTTGAAATTATATGCTTTATTAAAGATTATTATTATTATACAAGTCTTATATCTTCTGGACAGCCTTGTTTTGAAGCCACAAATTGAAGGTTTAATGTCTTTCATTGCATATGTCGTCTACTCATACCTTCCAAGTAAAGTTATGTTCACTTTGTGGCTTTCTTCATGACAAGCGCACCGTGATTTATGACTTTGTAAGTTTTGCAACTATATGTGTATGTTGGAAAGCAAACTGTTGTTGAAAGTTGATTGTTTTGTGCTGTGAGAGGCTTTGTTTATACTATGAAAGTCCATGCTTGTTACAATTTGTCTTGTACTCATTGTTAAGACTTAAATAAACATGGTACCTTTGAAACTTGTGTTCTAATATCCTATTCAACACAATAATTTTAAATAAAAAAACAACATGGCATAGGCTGACGTTATGAAAAAATTTCGCCGCAGTCACACTGAAAGAGCCTTATTTTTTTTATAAATAAAGGTGCTAATATTAGAGGGGGGAGGGGGCTTCCGCGGAGGGGGGATGTCATTAGCCCTTTGTGCCCTGTCAAACTCGGCGCGGGAAAGTACACGCACCGGCAGAGCAAACACCCTAAACGTCATGCTCACTTGCGTGACCAGCAATAAATTTCCATTGGCAAATCCATCAGCAATAGTGACATTCTAATGAAATAGTGCAAAAACGAATGAAAATGTTACAATTTCGACGTTGAGGAACGATTTGACAACTTTGACAACCCGTTTCCTCCGCCAGATGCCGGCACTCGCGATGCGCTTCGGTTCGGTCTTTTGTTTTTCTTCCTATTTGTTCGTCCGAGCGGGTTTTTTCGTTCCAATATTTGCCTGAAAAGAAAAGTCCTATTTTTAAAAAAATCCCTCTTATTTTTTAAGATACAATGTACTGCCCTGCTATTTTCATTGTTGTTCAATAATGAAAAGACAAGTTGAACGTTTCCGGAGTTACACGAAGCAGTGACGTAAGGACACTCCGCGCACGTATACACTTGTACGTGAAAGTCACGGGACTACTTTCAGTGTTGGCGGGCGCGGCCATCTTAGTTAATAGTGTATTTTGTCCTCTTGTGCATCGAGTCCTAAATCCCTAATCATCCACCATGTCGGAAAGGGAGGATAATGTGTACAAGGCTAAATTGGCTGAACAAGCCGAAAGATATGACGGTATGTTATTATTTCCATCTCATTTCGCATATATGCGTAGTTTTTGTCTTGTGAAAATTGCCGACTTGGCTGAAGGCCCGAGGAGCCTCCCGAGCTCTTCTCCGTCAGAACGTCGATACTGAATAATGCTCTTTTCTGAGACCAGGCGGCCGTTTCTTTGCCACTTTTGGCACCCGCACATGATTCTGATGAAGAATATTGCATGAAAAACGGGCTTTCCGTGTCCAATTCCTTTTTGACGAGTGTGTCCGCTTCCCGAGCCGAGGTTGGGATCGGACTAGATCGATGCGTCACCAGGTGTCGAAACGCGAACAAAACTGCAGTTTAGGGTGCATTTTCTGGCTCTGGACCAGCATTTGTCGGTCCTATAGCACGAAACGCGTGTTTGAAACACGGCCCCTACCCCTTCTCTTGATGCGACACATTCCTGGGTGTGGAATGTCGGGCTATCACGTTTCGGCACCGCAGAAACGGAAAGCTTCTGACCTTGATGCCCTAACTCTAACCTAACTCGCTGCGCACCTTAGGCTGGCTCTCTTTTTATCATGTATTTTTGGTCGCACCTTCCTCGGGTTCCGTTTGTTTGTATGGAGCCGTTTCACTCCAGACCCCCTTTATTTTTTCACCCTTACAAAGTATAACTTCGAAGTACACACCTTGTACTGAGCCTCAGTAGCTTCTGGATCCAAGTCCAATTTGTCAAAGATCTCCGGCTACATGGCGAACCCGGTGCTTTATTTTGAATTAATTCCCATTTTCACATTGTAATGGTTTGAACATTTTCCCCTATTTGTTATTTCATCATATTTTTTTTGTCTTTCCAATCAACAATTGAGGTTCCTTGATGTTAACCCATTTTGGATGCTCTATGAATGACTTGCTTGTCCAGTCTTTTAAATGGCTCCAAATTATGTATTGTATTAACTTCTGCTCGTCCACCTGTCATTTATTTGGTGTTTGTGGCACCTCTCTAATTATAACATAAAGTTCATCATAATTGATGTCAGGAACAATGCGTAACAGTTTTCTTCAACAATTAATGTTTCATTCTACCCATGATGGAACCATGGAAAGTTTGGGTTAGCAACGAGACCGACCATAGCATGATCTGTGCTGCCCTGCCTGAGATAGCATTATGCTGTGTACAAATAAAACAGTGTAGTTGGGGCTGTGCAATGAGATTTAAATTTTCAAGATAAGTCAATCTGAGCTGGGGTCATGTCATGTGCCAGTGGAGAGCTGATAGCCACTGCAGGCCTATCACCTTGGTTCGGATGGGCCCACCCCAGGTTACTCCGCTCCGCTATCGCGATATCTGCCAGGTACCCCGCTCCCTTATCTCACTGTGGGCGTCACAACTTGACCAGGTCTCTTCCTCTTGCCCGGCTTGGCGGCTTGGCCATGGGCTTGCCCCCCGTCGCGTCGACAGCCGGGACTGCGATAGCGACTTTGCCGGGTCTCCGAGTGCCTTGTCGCATCGCCGGCGGGGCCTTCGGGACTCTCTGCCGGCAAAATGGGCTTTTCGGACGGGGATAGGGGCCTAGGTTTATCCGTGGGGCTCGCGTTGGCCCGTTGCTTAGAGCAACTGGCATAAATGGTGGGCAACCACCTCGGCACCCACAAGTGAGGTTAGGCCGTGGGGCCGTAGAGAGGGAGGGGCTAACAGTTGGTTACGCGTTGGCTCCCCCTCCCACTCCTCCCCTCCCCTTCCCCACCCCACCCTATTCCGCAGCGTATTGATCTGCGCCCGTCCCTCCACCCCGCCCTGTCCTCCCACCCCTTCAGACGTCCTCCCCTTTAGACGTCAAGTCATTTCAACCGTTTTTGAATAAATGTCGCGCGTGCCTCTTTTACACTGTCCTGTTTGGTTGACACACATTCATTTCCTTTCCTCCACCGTCCCCTACCGTGCCCTAGCTCTAGGCAGGCTGGCGCGGTCCTGCTTGACGCAGTTATGCCCTCTTTTGATCTTATTATTCATTCAAACGACGTTTGTTCAAACGGCGTTTCGTGGTCCAAATTTGGGCCCGTCCACGATGGACGTGTGCCTCGGAAGTATCGTTGCTTTCCTGGTTGTTTTGCTCAAGCTCTCCTGCTCGGGGAGGGGTGAATGCGCCAGGTGAACGCCCTCCCCCACCCCTTCGCCCCCGCCCCTGTTTCGTTGTTCGGACGCCCCTCACGGACGGCCCCTTACGACCCGACTCCAATAGTTGAATGCCGCTGTCCATGCTCCAATTGACATGACAGTTTCACAAATAAAATGATCCCTTACACATACTGCCTTCCCTGATGAAAAATTGTTCAGACCTCTTTTTATTGAGTTTTTCATTTATCTTGGATTTCTTTTCTGTGTTACAGAAATGGTGGAGGCAATGAAAAAAGTGGCCTCCCTGGATGTGGAACTGACCATTGAAGAGCGTAACTTGCTCTCGGTGGCATACAAAAATGTTATTGGTGCAAGGCGAGCATCCTGGAGGATAATCAGTTCTATCGAGCAGAAGGAAGAAAACAAGGGAGCAGAAGACAAGCTGGAGATGATTAAGACATACCGCTCACAGGTTTGTAACTGTAGCTCTGTCTTGTTTTTCCTTGCCTTCAAGTATATCTAACGATTGTGCCCTTTTTGAAAAACGTCTTAGGTGGAGAAGGAACTTCGTGATATCTGCTCAGACATCCTGTCTGTATTGGACAAGCACTTAATCCCCTGTGCCTCCACAGGAGAATCTAAAGTCTTCTATTACAAAATGTATGTAGTTCATCTTACTCTTCCAACTTATTGTGTAGGTTGAGTGTTTCTTCATATGTTTCAAATTTGTCTTTTGCAGGAAAGGAGATTATCACCGATACTTGGCCGAGTTTGCTGTAGGAAATGACAGGAAAGAAGCAGCTGAGAATTCATTAGTTGCATACAAGGCAGCCAGTGACATTGCAATGGTTGAACTTCCCCCCACACACCCCATTAGGTAAGAACAATTGTTTCAGTACTATGTGCCCAATTTGATATGTCACCAAGTGATAATGGCTTAATGTTAAAATGTTCTATTGTTGTGTCTCTAATAAGTCTTCGTTATTTTTTTTTTTTAGGCTGGGTTTGGCCCTCAATTTCTCTGTGTTTTACTACGAAATCCTCAATTCCCCTGACCGAGCATGTCGCTTGGCAAAGGCTGCCTTTGATGATGCTATTGCTGAGTTGGACACATTATCAGAGGAGAGTTACAAGGATTCTACCCTCATCATGCAGCTGCTCAGAGACAACCTTACCTTGTGGACCTCAGATATGCAGGGAGATGGTGAGCAACCCACAGAGGAATCAGCCCAATGTACGGTTTGACTTCAATACAACTGCTGTCATGCTGTGTCAAATTTTTATTCGTTTTCTTTGCAATATTTGATCAGTCCATTGCTCTTTTTCTTTGCATATTGTAGATATTTGGCTTTTTGGGCATAATGGTGTGCTGTCAGTAGTGGTGCTGGACAAGGTTTTGGGTGTAAACTACTTGTTATGTAGTTTTCTGTTGACATTCTTTCTTCTTTTAGTTAAAATAATTTCATATGAACATCCATTTCAGTCCATAGAAACTGTATTTTGATGGTTAGAGTGAAAAATTTCTTCATTAATTTTTTGTTTCATAACTTCCTTCTTGTTGTATATTTGTAGTTTGTCTATTTGCTTTTCTGTGTTAACATTAATGATCAATCTGCTTTAGTATTTGGTCTTGTGCCGGCTACATTCTACTGCCCATCGCCAATCTAATGTGTCGCTGAATAGTTCCTCAGCATGGACTGATCATAACTTTCTGCATACAAATGATTTTCCTCAATGTTTGGGTGATAGCTTTTGTTATTAATTTTAATTGCTTTTACATGTTAAACATTAATCTGTGTTCTAGTTGAGACCTAGCATGACGATTTCTTTCTTTCTATTCTTCAGTTGAAGTTGAACAGTTTTGGCATTCCTTCTGCATGAACTTAAAATACGGCTCTGTATTGTTGTGACTGGTCTAGTTTTACTTTTGAAGCTGCTGCTATTATTTGTCTGTTTATTTTTTTTTAAATTCTTTTGTTTTACTCCACCAATTTCTTCTATTTTCAGGTGAAACTGAAACTAAGGAACAGTTGCAGGATGTTGAAGACCAGGATGTGTCGTAATCTGTGACTGAGCACACAAATCGAACAAGCGTAAAAATTGAAGCACTTAACATCATCTTGTGTGTATGACTTGAGTGGAATGTGGTAGAACTAGTGACTACCATATTGTGCGCCTGTGGTCTGTGTGAAACGTATTACCGCCATCAAGCCCAGCTTTGGAGGGCTTCGGAAGGACTTGGACTTCTTTATTATTTTGTTTTCCCGGGAGGGGGTTGTAACTGTCTGCCAATATTCGACTCAAATTCCAACTTCAATCCTAGGGGCTGTCATTGCCGGACTTGGATGATTGTGCTGTCGCTTTGGTTTTATTTAGGCTTTTGAAATTGCTATTAATAAAATTCATACCTCAGTTTTAATATTTATTTGTTTTCTTGTCAGGGGAACATTAATACACTGTATTGTGCTTGAGGTATTTTACTGTCAAAGTATTCATACAGTGTTTGATCTGACACCAAGAGCAATGTTGATTCTACTTATTTATTCCTGTGAGCTGTATTTCCCTTGTTGAGATCTCTAACTCTTCAACTGTGACATGTGTCTTGGCATTTCTTTTGCTGTTGGATCACATATGTGAGAATGTTTTTGACTGGGGACTTGCTATCAGTTTGGGAAATGATTGAAATGTGAGTGGATCAAGTTCAATCTGCATTTGCAGGCAGTTCAAGTATCCCCTTATTTGGAGTTGGTCCATTCTGTGATATAATTTGCTAAAAGTGAGATTTTAAAAATTATTTTATGGTGTCTCATCTCATGACATTGCTTCACATGCATTTATTTTGATCAAGTGGTGGCCCTCTCAGTTTCAATATTAAAATAATGTAAGGAAAAATATGGAGTCGTTTTGGAAGAAAGTCTTCTCCTGTTAAATTTCAGGGATAATTTAAGATGGCCTGACTTTTCTCTTTGCTTATTGGATTCTAGTTGATTCTCTTTGAGAATGAATCATTCCATCACATTTACTGTGAAGTATTACAGATGCTGCCCACCCCACCCCACACTACCTCACTCCACCTTCCTCTCCCTTCCCTATTCCTTTTCCTCGTTTACCTTATCATCTCCCATTTAGAATGTGGGGTTTGTAATGAATCATAATTATTTATTGGTACTTAAAGCCAGCAACCCAGTTAAGATTGACTTATTATTTGGCCGGAGCCGGTTTAGTCTGGCTGTTCTGGTAGTTAAGCTGTAATCTGTAGAGGTTAGTTCTGTAATGCACTTTTTGTGAAACCTAAGTCTCCTATCAATTGGAACTTAAACTTATTCTAAATGGTCTGGGTTAAGTCTCAGGGAGGGGAGGCCAGTTCCGGAGTAAGCTTCCACCGCTCACCTTTTGGCGCTATCTCTGCAAGCATTCCTAGTTGCTCTTGGAATTCCAATAGCAGACTGGTGAGAAATTATGGCTTTGCCTTGCGTTTGATTTGGTGCTATGAGCACGTCAGTGATAAAACACCTTTGCTCAAGATGCTGCATGTTGGAAGAGTTCCGACTCCATCTTATGAGGAAGGGCATGCTCTCACCGAGCGGCGTAAGCACAATTCGGAACAAAACACCTCTTCTACAGCAAAATTGTGTCCAGTGCTTTTTACATAGTTGAACATTGATCTCAAGAATTTCTTCCTTGCATTCAATATTGTCGAATCAGGAAATCTACTTGCAAGTATTCCAAGATGGTATTCAAACTCTGAGGATATTTACCAGACCAGACCAATGATGTAAATTAGCTCCAATTGTGTGGAAGTAAAACTGGGGCTATCAATCATCCAAATGCTTTTGTGAAGTAAGCTATGTCGCATTTGCCCTCATCGAAGTTTGTTTTGCTCTGAACCATAAAATTATTCATAACAAAGTAAACCATGTAATTGTTCTGTGTTTTTAACTTTTCTAAAGAATAAAATTATCTTCTTTCCTGTGAAATGACTCATTACTAAATTTAAAAAAATGAAAATTCAAAAAAAAAAAAAAAAAAAAAAAGTCTTAGTGTGCTAAGTGGTTAGGATCTAAGTTCTATTTCCTAAAATCGGCCACATCAGCTAGATCAGACATTGCTATTCTTTGATGCTGCAATGGACTGGCAACTCGTTCACACAATTATCATCTTTCCTTGGGATACTTTGTGGCATTACGTTTTAGCGAACTTTTGGGGTGCTGAGTTATACAAAGGAACAGCTGACCATTCCCAAGTCATTTCCGAAGTGCATTTAATGTACTGTTCCCTGTGTCTGGGGTTTATGCATTTTAATTTGGCCAACTTTAATTAAGTACTGAGTGTAACAAGTCATTTGTCAACAATTCTAGTGTATGAACTCACTTCCAGACCAACCTGCTGTAGACAAATAACTGTAGATAATTGCTTAATGTTAATTTACAGAAAATGGCACAATGCGTTACATCACGTTTAAGTGGATGGGGTAAACCCTTTGTGTACATAAAGGCTTAGCAGATTATATTGTGTGAAACTGTCGGGACAACCTAGCATTTCACTTCAAATTGCCTTTGATTTGTACCCCCTTCATTCCTACAGATTTCATACTGAATCTAAGTGTTAAATTAGAGCTGCTTTGTGTAAAATTGAACCAACTGAATTTGTCCTCTTTGTTAAGACATGTATGACTTCAAAGTAGAAAAATACAAATCTGACCTTTACTTAAAAACTTTTTTTTATTTACTGCTGACCTTGTTAAGTCAAATCATGCTGTCCAATTATCAACATGACAAAGGTCATACACCACCTTTCAATTTACTGTCCACAAATGTTAGCAGACAACCACATGCCATCATGACAAGACAAATCAGAGAATGGGCAGTCTCATACAAAAGTTTGGGTGCAAATACGGACCATATGAATAAATGTTCTCTTTGTATTGTAATCACAATAAAATATACTGTCAAAGGCAGTAGGCGCAGCAGAAAACATACGTTTAAACTGATGAGCATGTCCGCTTTCCTATCAGAAACCAAAACAAGGACAATGAGCACCTTTGCAATGTAATAAACAATCATTAAGAAACAGGAAAAAAATTATTACCTGAGGGGTGTTATTGGTTCCTTTGCAAATTGCAGCCATAAAAGTAGTAAGGCCAGAATGGGGAAAGTTAAAGTATGAAATAACACCAGTAAACTAGCGGAAATCAAATTCTGATGTTCCACACCAATGTAACCAGTAGCAACATTAATGGTGGCTAAATTATTGGAATTACCCTGAAACAAGATGTTTTAACTTTACTTCTATCATCAACATGCTTCGATTTAAACAGTGAATTGAAAGAAAGAAAAAATGAGGCTTTCAACAAACTACAATGCCATTCACTTACCTGATAAAAATAAACAACTGTTCCTAGCCACACATGACCAAAGCTGCACTTGATTGTATCTTTGAAGTAGGCTTGAATGGTAAAACTAGATAATACTAAGTATGAAATAAGAATGACATTGCTTGGTTGTAAAAGCAGTGTACTGACTAAAACCAATATTGAAAGAAGTATCTTAACAGCTCTTTTCATAGACCATTTTTGTTGAATGTTTGCCACAGATCTTAAGAAAAACAGCAATATCAAAAACCAAAAGGCCTTTACTTCTTTGACCCCACTACTGAAAATAAAATGTAAAGTAGAACACAAAACGTTAGACATTTAGTGGAAATAATAATAATAATAATAATAATAATAATTTCATTTTACCTTGAGATAAAAGGGAGGTATGGAAGAAAGATGTCACCAACATCATTTCGATAAAACAAAGTACAGAGTAAAGCACAAAAATGCAGAACCTTATCAACTGTATTGGAAACACATTTCAGCCCCAATAAGCTGGTCCAAACTCCTACCAAACCTAGGATAAAGAGAGAACCATGAAAATAAATGAAATTAAGCTCACTATTTTGAGTTTGTTGAATATTCGAGTAAAATACTAACCCAGGAGAAATACCAGTGTAAGGCAAATTTGGTGCTCTGGCATTTCTAGCCAATCACTAATATCAGGAAGGGATGCCCATTTATCCCCAGTTTGATTCAACTTGCGTAGAAACCGGTGACCCAACAACACAGCAACAAGAGCAAATTTGGAACTAAACTCATTTCCTATCGGTCTGAGAAAAAAAATAATTGAAGGATTATAGTCTTGGCAATACTGTACGTAAGAGGAAATTCCAACAAAAGGAGTAAAGATTATACCTGTTAGTCCAACTTGCCAATAACAGGAAAGTGATCCAAAGAAAGTACCAAGTTTGATGTTCTTCTTCAATGAAACTAGACGAGCTTAAGCTTACAGCATGCAAAATACTCCCAACAAGCAGAAAAATTGTAATGGTTGACAAATTTTTGCATGCAGTCCTCTATAATACACAAAGAGGAAAAATCACACAGTTAAAATGTTTTTGATATCATGTTCCAGTAAAAGGCAGTGAAAGGTGTAGACCTTACCAGACTGAAACTTTGCAGGACTAACATCGTCCAAAACAGAACCTTCATGGAAAATAGCAGACGATAAAGTAAAGAAAATTCATAATGTTAAATATTAAGTACTGAAAGACTGACCATAATTAGTATACCACAGCTTAAGACAATAGCCCACATATTAAATGTCACAAGATTTTTGACCACAGAAAAGCTCATCCCTTGGGTTGCATTAAAATACAATGATTCTGCTAAAATCTTTAAGTCCTCTGTTCTATTTTTAAGCCATAACTCGTGGACATGCTGAGCTTTTAGATACAGGATAAAGCAATCTGAAACAAATATTAAAAGGTAGGGTAAAAAACATACAAAGAGGGAGACCATTTTGCATTGAGTACCTTTAGAGCCTCCGTTTGAATCAGCATTTAAAAACTGATTTGCTATTAATTGAGCATTGTAAAATAATGCAAAGAGATACTGCTCATCAGAGAGTCTGTGCAGAGCATGCGGAATGAGGGCACCAAGGCTCAGCTTGGGAATAGGCAGTCCCAATAGAACAGCTAGTGTAGCACCGAGGTCAATCTGAGAGACTTCTGGACGTTTTCTAATAGAACACACCATGCAAAGAAAAAAGAATAAGTAACATTGAAATGTTAAGCTTTTTTTATATACTTCCATGTTTCTTTTACCCTGACAGAGAGATATTGTGAGGAGTGCTTTCAATGAGAAGAAGAGAGGCCAGAATTTCTCCTAAAGTGGCACCCCCATGGCTACCTGAATCGTGCATTCCATGATCACCTGTAACCACTAAGTAAGAAGGAAATGCTTGTGAATGTTCCAAATCCTGTAAAAGATTCACCACCATAATACTACAAAGAGTTTTTTTTTTGAAGCAGTAATAGGAGAGTATTAACAACAAATTAACTTACCCATTTTTGCAAGCTTTCGTGCAAAAGTTTAATTACCCCGTCCATTTCTCTCAATTTGTCTGGAATGAGAGGACTTCTTGGGCCTGCCAAGTGACCTATATGATCAAGTCCAAGATAATGAAGAATGAGTATGTCCCAATCATTTTTTTTCAACTCCTTGCCAATACGTCGAGTGACATTCGCATCTACCTGGTGTTGCAAAAACGTTCAAAATAAATGAATATTGATAATATTAAATGATCCAGAGCATGAGAAGTGCATGTATACCTCTGTGTAGTCAGAAACTAAAAATGATGTTGTTCCTTCCTTCCTTATGAATTTATCTGGGAAAAGATTCAGCCAAAGCTCATCACCATAAAATACCACCTTGAGATCATTTTCCACCGACTGATGAATCAAGTTGTCTTCAAGAACTTTATTACTTCCTAAATTAAAAGCAACGTCAACGTAATTTGGTATAGATCCTGTCATAATAGCCTGGCACCAAAAAAAATTGCCATGTCTGAAAAATACATCTTACTTATATCAGCAGTTCACAATTAATATTTTGAGCTGTCATACCTTTATTCTTGGCATAGTTGCTGTAGGTGGATGACATCGTGCCGTAAGTAGCAGGGCTTTCTTTGATCTACGAAGCTCGGTGACATAAGGCATGTATTCTGGAGTCTCCACAAAGTCCCATCGAAATGCATCAATCACCACAAGTACAAGTTTTCCAATATGTCTGTGGTACAAAATATTGTTGTCCAAACTGTAAAAAATAACAAAAGGATGAGGAACACTGGTGACACCAGATCAATGGTGAAGCAAACAATGATCATCTGAGACGCGGCTGATCAACAAACATGACATTTCCAAGGACGATAACAACTAAAACTGATGGAAAATGTACCTAGAATTTAAAAGGCGTGAGGGAATGTCTTCTTTAGTAGAAAAACTGACATTTACATTCTTGATAGGGAAAAACCCAAACAAGAATAAACACAGTGCGAATAGGGTGAAACATGTACGGAAAAGCATAAGAAGTGAGTGATATGAAACAATTTGGTATTTCTTTCCATTGACAATATCTTGTATTTGCTGCATAATGGGAGTGGCAAAAGAGTTTCTAGGTTATTTTCCTTAATAACAATAACAAGCGCCGGCTGGCGGGCGGGGCGGCTGCTGCGCAGCTGCAGCAGCTGCGACTGCGAAAACAAGCGAAGGCTGTGACTTGCAGACGACACTACGTTGGTACTTTCTGAAGCAGACAACATTCATGTTAATTCAACGTTCTGCGAAAATTTCCCGCGATTTTATGATTTTTGTGCCCTGTCATATTCTTCTATTGTTTATTTTAAAGCTTTGAACAATCTTCATTACGATCAACATGATGTTTATGAAACAATGCCTCCCAAAACCTGTACCTGGAGAGCTTCTCAAGAAAAGTGCTGTACTAAAGCCACTTTTTGCCAAATCAAATGCTGATAAAAATTGGTTTCTTTATTCCACTGCTAAACTGTCAACATCAGTTGCTGTCAATTCTAGGTGCGCCAACTTTTGAAATTTATTTCCATGCTCCAGTTTTTACAGCCTTACCTTCGGCGTTGACCACAAACTGAATTATTGTTAATTTGTATCCTCCGATTCTCTTAGCTTGCAACCTGTTTTAATGAACTTCTCTGCATATGAAGAAAAGAAAGATCCTGGTGGTAATGCCAGGGTCCTACTCATCATGCATGGCATGATGGGCTCTAAAAGTAATTGGAATTCTTTATCAAAAGTGCTTAATGCCAAAACTTCATTCAAAGTAAGTGGTTTCTCCAGTGACCCAATGTTCTTTATGATTAAGGCTACATTCACGGACTGTTTTTTTTTATTATTGCATGAACAGGTAATTGCGGTTGATGCACGCAATCATGGAGACAGTCCACATTCACCAGAGCACACTTATGAACATTTGGTAGAAGACATCAGACATCTTATGGGCAACCTTGGCATTAAAAAAGCTTCTTTTATTGGACATTCAATGGGAGGGAGAGCTATGATGAAGGCAGCCCTCAAATATGTAAGTCCCAGTTTGTCGGTAACTCGATTTTGTGTTTACTCTCATGCAATTACTTATGAATTTCCTTCTGTTTGTAGCCAGAACTTGTTGAAAAATTAGTTGTTGTGGACATTTCACCAATTGGTACTAGTCCTCAGTTAATGACCATGGGTAAATACTTCAATGCTATGAAATCCATTCGACTTCAACCCAATATACCCCTGTCAGTAGCTCGTAAGAATGCCGATCAACAACTTTCTTCAACTATCAGTGATAAACCTTTACGGGACTTTCTTATAATGAATTTAATTGAAGCTGAAAAGGGGAAATATACGTGGAAAATCAATCTAGATGCACTGGCTAACAATTTTATGACCAAAATTGCCACTTTTCCTAAAATTAATAGTACTTTTGAAGGACCAACATTATTCATTGGTGGTACCAAGTCTGACTACCTAAATCCTGAAGAGGAGCCCGAGATTAGAAAAATATTTCCTGCAGCCCAATTTGCTTATGTTCAGGATGCTGGACATTTAGTTCACGTTGAAAAGCCAGCTGAATTTTTATCTTTGACAATTCAATTTTTATTACAAAGTCATTAAAGGGCAAATTTTTGATCGCTAACATTGTTAACATCTAGTTTCGTTTAGAATTAGCTATACAACAACATTGAAGGAGCTGAAAATATATATAAGTCTGTGGTAGACTCGAAGGTGGCTTGTTATGTACTCCATCTTAATGTTTAGTCGGAAAATGTTTTCTCGTCTGCGGATCATTATGTTAAAGAAAGCTATATTTTTGAACACTGATTTTGTTTATTAGAAATATATTTGTACTTAATAATAAAATAAGCAGTACAGCTCCTTTCACAGCACTAAAATAGACATTTCATCATTCACTTTGTTGGTTCAGTCACATAAATCAACCTTACAAAATAAAAATCAGTCATTTCATAACAAATTTCAATAGAATAGACTTGCAATAATTGAATATGATGTTTCACTTGTTCTGAAGCTTAAGCAAAACAGTAAGTAAAAATTGAACAAAAAAGAATGTTGAATGGTCCGAAAGGCCAGCAATCTCATGGGTTCTAATCTGATAAAAATTATATCACAGAAGATTTTTAAAAAGACAGATCAAACAAATCACAATAAGTACATAAGTAAAAGTATTATAAAAAGCAAAGCAAAAAACAGCAACTTATATTCAAGCTGCATTTGCATAAAATAAACAACAGTAATTCATACCCTGATTAAAATTTTGACAAACAGTCATGTCATGTCATAGAAGTGTTTTTTGTTGTTGTTGTTCTTGCAATGTTCACTTCTGAATAAAAATAACATTCACTTATTAACACCCAACACAGAAACCAAGGGCAGACAAGTGTTCACATCTTCATCCTGTGAAAACAACAGCATGAATTAAATTAACTAATTGGTACAAATATTTTCCTCTTGAGCTGGGGTTTGCCTTACCTCTTCTGGTGGTGGCAAAGAGGTCTCGGACTGATATTCCCGGCTTGAGACTGAAGAATCACTTGCAAACGATCTTGACGAACTGTCGCTTATCTCAGAGACAGTAGGGGGCATAACAGAAATGGCTGGAGAGACAGCAGGAGCATTGGGGACACTAGGAGGTTCTGTAGGAAGCAGTTGTTCCATGTTTGGAAGCCTGGGTGTGGGTGAGATGCCACCATTGGCACCCTAATTAAACAAAAATAATCACATTCATGAACAAACAAATAATAGGGGTCAATGCTAGACAGGCACTTCAGAAAATTATTTACTGTACCTTTGGTGAACCACCATTATCAACAGGGGAAACACGGGGTGGAGTGCCAATTTGATGGGAAGTAGATGGATTGCTCACTGGATAACCTGGCTGTCCATTAATTAAATAATTGCCTGGATGCCTTATAATAGGACTTGTTGGCTGAACAACCGGCTGTGGAAGGCTTCTAAGAGCATCATAATATTCTTGAAGCTCCCTGGGAGTAACTGCAGGAATAAAATAAAAGATGAGATCAGAATATGAGACATAGAAATTTAATTACAGTCGAAGTACCAGGCTTTGAAGTAATGGTGTGCTGATCCAGAGTTTGGCACACCACTGACATTTCAGGGCGCTCTTGAGGGGTATAGCTGACACACACAATGCCCAAATCTATGAAGCTTTTGAAAATTGTTGGGGCTTTTTCTATTTTTGGATCCATGAGCTGATGTACATCCGTATGTTTCTTGACCAACTCTCTCTGAAAATTTATTACGTTGCTAAAGTTATAGTGACACAAATTTAGGCTTACACACACAAAATACTGACCAAAAATTTTTGAGGTCGTTTATCATCATATGCTCGAAGTCCGGTGGCTATCTCAAACAAGACCTGAGACATAAAAATCAAATTAAATTGTTTCAAATGTTCACAATTGGAAGTGAACTTGTGCTGTGAACGTGTAAATAACAAACACAACTTACCACACCAAAGCTGTAAGTATCAACTTTGGTTGACAACTTTTTCGATCTGAGAAACTCACTAGGTAGGTATGGTCTGGTTCCATGGACTCTACTGACTTTCATGTGTGTGTAGTGATTGTGAGGGCCTTCTCGGGCTAAACCAAAATCACCAATTCTGGGCTCAAAGTTGGCATCAAGTAAGATATTGGCACTAAAGACAAGAAATGAGTGAAATCACGTGAACATAATTTCTCCCAACAACACAAAACAGTTACTGTGTACCAGAAAGTAAAAAAAATAAAATTCGATACCTCTTGATATCTCCATGAATGAGAGGTTTCTCCTCAACAGTATGCAAATATTGAAGTCCTCTTGCGGCACCCTTCGCAATATTGTACCTCTGCTGCCATGACAAGGGACTTGTTCTGTTCTAAAGAGCCCATAAGCAAAAGAAAAAAAAAATTAGAACTGCTAAAGAAAAATGAAGAAAAAGCATGATTCTTTAGATGTTTCTACAATAAAGAGCACGCTTACCTTGCATTGCAAACGATCTTCCAAGGACCCTCTCTCCATGAATTGGTAGACCAAACAAGGTTGGTTACCATTGAAGCTGAAACTATACAACTGCAGAATATTTTGATGGTGGATTCTTTGAAGAACTTGAAGTTCACGTTGGGATTGCTGGTACGGAATTTCTTGGCTTTCTCGTGAATCTCCTTTCTATAATTAAAAAAAAAATCTTTGCAAGTGAAAAAAGATTAATAAGGAATTTTAAAACGTACCAAGGAAACAAGTGCACTCACAGGAATCTCAATCCTCTTAATGGCCACAACAGTATTTTTCCAAAGTCCTTTATAAACTGTTCCAAACCCTCCCTTTCCAAGAATGTTAGCAGGATTCCAACCGTTTGTTGCTGCCTCTAATTCTTTGTAATCTTTCATTGGTAGCATGTGTTCACTTGTTGTGGCCATAGACGAAACTAAAGAAGTAGGGTATAGAATGTCATTTTTTAGAAGTTGCTATCATGGGAAGGAAATTTGAACAATGTAAAGTGTCTTACCAGAGAGCTTGCGCGCAGATGTTGGAATATTCTGCTGAGCCATAGGAATGTTAGGAGGTGCAGAAAGCGCTGCAACACCAGCTGGGGATAGTCTAGGCTGCCCCAAAGCTTGGTTTAGAACTGGGGGGGATGGCAGTGTCCCAAGCGCACCAAAATCTGGGCCAGTCTTTTCTAATTGAGGGCTGTTCTCTTCCATGGAAACGGGGCTTCTGTGAGCACAAAAAAAAAAGACGGACACTTACAGTAAAAAGAGCAAGCAACACTATTCACTGACAAAGTAGCTGATTTTATCATTACCCAATATTTTGAATTTTTACAGAATCTGAAAATCCTTGTTTGCTCAACTTTTGAGTGTCTGGCATCATCACATTGAGATTGTGCCCACCAAAAGTTTTGTCATCAACTGCACTAGCAACTGCATTAGAGCTGCTCGCAGAAGGGCCAGCATTATTTTTCTGAAAGAAAAAAAAAAGTAAAATTGAAATGGTGGTCTTAAAATGTCACAGATTTTTTTAAAAATTGGAAGACTTACAACAGGCTGCAGCAGAGACACATTATTCAACAGTTTTGTTAAACTTTCCTCTCCATCAGACATAAGTATATGAAATTTAGGATCAACTATAAAAAGGAAGAAACACATTAACACTAAATGAAGACATAGATTTACTACTAAGTAGTGGTGAATGATTTTACCGAATGGCTTTAAAATTGTCATGGCGTGGAAATGGCGCATTCGAGACAGAAGTACAAACAGTTCCTGAACTGTATGGTTTTGAGAACCCCATTTTGTGAGGAGCTCATTTGAAGGTGATTGACCACGACGTTCACAACTTTCTATACATTGTATGTCAAAAGTTTTAAATTTCATTAGTCCACCTGCAATTCAAGAATAAAGGTTGAAGGTTTACACAAAAGATGTTAGTAACTAGTCTTTGACTAGAAGGAGCACACATCAATATATAATATTCAACGTTGACATTAAAAAATCTCCTCACTCTAAAAACAACCTGTTGCACTCCCAATGCAAGGTTATACGCCCGTTGATGCAAAGCAACGCACAACAAGCAGACCAGCGACAAAATAAAGAAATTAAAACTTTCAATTGGTCGACATCCTGACTTACCTAAGGTTTTCCAGTCTTTTCCGTTTACATCCAAAATGCGACAGAGGTCCTCCCTCTCGCAGTACGGCAGGTCATAAATATACTTCGGCTTCGTTTCGGCCATGGAGAAACGATTTATTGGACGAATCCTGGACATAAACAGCACAACCCGCGATGCAAGCACTAAATCGAATCTTCGAAAATGGAAGCTGGTGGACAGTGTAGTGTCACTGCTGCAATGCAAAGTGCTGTCCTGTTGTCGTCGTCCACCGTCCCCCCGCTCGCTCGCTGGTTAGCGCCAGTTCCAGGGAGTGTCTCTGTGGGAAAACCAGAAACCAGTCTTCCAGTGTTGCCAGACGCCAGGAGCCGAAAGGCGCTCGGATTGGCTCGGATGGGAGGGGGAAGGGATGGGGGAGGGGGATGAGCTCGGGCGGCGCGGAAATTTTGAAAGACGGCGCGTTTCATGCGCGAGGGGCGTTTTGGTAAATACATAGTAAACCAGGGATTCATTCAGTGCCCCGCACCCGAACACAACAGTCCCCTTCATGTGTACGATTTGGGCTTCCATTGCGCGTCTTCTGAGCCACTGCCGAACCCGGGGGAAGCCCGGGAAAGCCGAGTGCCTTGTCTCCAAGCTATATACTACATGGCAATTTTAACCTGGGGATTCTGAGGGGTAGAATTTTGGCCCACTCCGTACGTTGGCGCACTTTGCTTCTCCCTCGAGCCCATCGGAAGACCTTCCAGCAGAGCGAACGCCGTTTAGCTGCGAGCGCGACAGAACGAAGGATTCCGTGAGTCGTTTTCGTCACTCTTCGTTCTCATAGGCGGCCCCTACTGTAGGTGCGAGAGAGACAAACGAAGAAAGTGATGTATCCTTATCCCTGTCCTGCCGGGGTGCCCAAGGGTGCCGGCGTGCCGGCGCGCCGGCGCCTCACCGGCCGGGTGGCGGGTGGGCCGGGCGCATGGTGGCGCTTGGCCGCGCTTGGCGCTGCGAGGCGGGCCGTCTGCTGTAGTCTGGCGCCCTAGCCAAGGCCCTGGCGGCCCGGCCGTACGGCTACAGCTCGCGGTGTGGTGGCGTGGGGGTGCCGGGGAAGGGGTGGTGCGCGCTGCCGCGCCACGCACGCGCAGACCCTGCAGACGCCGGCACGGCGGCACGGCGGCGGGGAAGGGCAGCAAGGGCACGCCGCACTCCGCGGCGGCACGGACGCCGCACCGCGTGGCGGGAGATGGAGTCTAGGCAGTGACCAAAGGCACGCTGTGGCACGCTGTGGCGTAGGCCAGGCTCAGCAGCAGCAACACAGCGAGCACCGCACCGCGTGCGCGACGCCGGCACCCCCGCGACCTCTGCGATCACCGCGACCACCGCGGCCCGGGCTGTCACCATGTCCCGGCAGTGTGACCGGCCGGTCGGGGACTTCGTCAGGGGCCTCGAAGGGGCAGGGGGCTTCCGGTGCACCCAGCTGATCGCGCCGTTGTAGACGCCCGAGCAGTGACTGCAGTGGAGCGACGCGGGAGTGGCACCAGTGACACACGCCCCAGTGAGAGAGTGACAGTGACAGAGTGACAGAGTGACAGAGAGACGCCGGGATCGACGCAGGGAATGCCGCCTCGCCGGCCGGCGACTGCAGCGGCCGCCGCGGTTCTCCAGCAAGGCCACCAGAGGGGCCTTGTTGTGCTGTAGGAGCACCGCCGGACCGCCGGCCGCCAACATGTCTCGCAGGAAGCAGGCCAAGCCGCGAGCGCTCAAGAGTGAGTATACCAGAGCAGTACAGACTTTCGGTCTTCGTGCACGCGGGAGTGTGAGTGTTGCATTCGCTCGGGGTGCATTACAAAACGTGTGTGTGTGTGTGTGTGTGTGTGTGTGTGTGTAGGTGTGTGAAAGAGGTGTGGGGTGAGTGGGAGAGAGAGAGAGAGAGAGAGAGAGAGAGAGAGAGAGAGAGAGAGAGAGAGAGAGAGAGAGAGAGAGAGATCCAAGTTGTCTCGGTTTCCTTCCTGAACACGCAGGGTGGTAGAACGCTAGTACGCGGTACTTCCCCGCCGAGCTGCCCCCCAGTGCTGCCGCGCTGCCGCTGCGCCGCGCCACACCGCGCCGCACCACGCCGCACCGACCGTGGGGACGGATTTGTCAAGCTGTGCGTCCCTGCGTCCCCGGGTCCCTAGGTGCCACTGCATCCATATTCCAAACAAAAAATAAGAGAAGCCAGCACGCGAGGGGTGGGGTAAGGGGGGCCGGAGGGGCTTTACTGCGGTGTGGAGCTGTGGAACTGGCCACCGGGCCTGGTGCATCATGTCAGCCAGCGAACAACCTGCAGTGCGTGCTGCGCGCTGCGCGCCGCCGTGCTCGGACCACGCCGTCCAGGCCGTCCTCTTCGAGGTGCAGCCCGTCTCGCACTTGCCTCCCCACCTCCCCGACGATGTTCGTCACTGCCACTGCGGGGTGGTAGGACGCGCCACGCCACGGCCTTCGCCACTGGGAACAAAAAAAGCCATCCCGCTGCCACCCGCTGCCCTGCGGGTTAATCACCCCAGTTCGGGTTATCTAAGGTGTGCTTGCTCCCCGCTTGCCCCTCGGCTTGCCCGCGCGCCGCACACCGTCCTCAAGTCCCCCGTGGACTGAACACGCGTTATAGTGCCCCAGCCACCCCGCCCCGCCCCTGGCCATCCCGACCCATCCCGACTGCAGCGGGGCCGGGCGGGACTCGCACCTCGGGCGCGGCGATGTGTCATGTAAAATACGGCCCCCTCGACGTCGCTCTGTAAAAGATACAAACCGCGGGGCGGGCGGGCTGGTGGGCTGGCGTGGCGTGCTGGCGGCGGCTTTGGCGCCAACCTCGTGATAGCCGGGTAGCCCTCCCGGCACCGCGCGCTGCCTAGGCCCACTGTAGGCGTTCCTGGCGCAGCACGACGCGTTCCGAAGGCAGTAGTTCGCTTGGTGCAGCCCAGGGGTGCAGCGCCACGGCGCAAGAGTGCAGCACCGTTTTTCATCCGGGCACTGCGACCTTTCGGCAGCGTCTTCACGGCCTGCTTCGCCTGCTTCGTGCGGCACGGAGCCCGGAGTGGCACGGAGGCACGGCGCGGAGATGAGGGCCCTGGCTGCGTTCCCCTGGGACGGCGGGGACGGCGGGGCCGGCGGGGCCGGACGCCAGTCTGGAACTGGGGCTGGCAGGGCTGGCGTCGCTGGCGAGGCGAGCCCTGCAGGGTGGGCGCGGAGCGGCGCGGAGGGCTCCGAGCGCCGAAAAACGCCGACTACAGTCCGAGCCAACACCATCACCGCCATCGTCTACGTTGCCGACGTGGTCCTCGTTGCCGAGCCGGAACAGCGCCGTGTCCGAGGCCGTGTCGGCGGCGTCGGGGGGGGCCCGTCGGAGACCGTGTCCGAGACCGTGTCCGAGACCGTGTCCGAGACCGTGTCGCCGCTGCTGGTATCGCGGCCTAATAGGGTGGCCATTAGTTTTGTCCGAGGACCCACCCCGCCGCTGCCTGCGCCGCCACGATGTCCGAATCGAACAGATGACCAGTGTCGTTAGGGCCGCGCGGCTCGGCGCAGCCCGGGGGAAGGGGGAGGTGGCAGCGGGGCCATCCACCCGGCGATAAGTCATCTGGGAGAGTAATGAGAGCTTGGTCGAGTCCAGCAGAAGACCTAGGTTGGACCGAGGGAGCAGCATCCCCTGTCCGGAGCCCCTCCCGCGCCCCTTTCTGTGGCCCCTGCCGCCCCCGGCCGCCCCAGGCCGCTGGCCGCCTGGCCGCCAGGACGCCGTCGCACTGGTCGGTGCTCCGCTGTGTCCTGTCCCGGCCGTGTCCTGGATGCCGCGCGAAGGACGAAGTAGCGCCGCGAGGGCGTAGCGTGGCGCAGCCTGGGATGGGGCTGCGAGGCCGGGCGAGGCTCCTCTGGGACCAGATGAATCTCCTGGGCGGCAAAGTTTCCACTCCCTGGCGGCAGTCCCCGCAGCCCTGCCTTGGCCCTGCCTGCCATCCTGGACTCGCTGTGTTCGTGCGTGCGTGCGTGCGTGCATGTGTGTGTGCTGGCAATGGGATCGATCCAGGACGATCCACACCGTCCCTCTAAATAGTAAATAACAGCGCGGTGTCCATTTTCCATTTTCACGGCAGGAAAGTCTCCCACCGCGCCGACATCTCAAGCGCGAAAATATTTTCACGAAACATAAAAAACGAACCGCAAATCGCTGCATATCTGGTAGAAGCCACTTTGAGGCGCACTGGGCGGCGGCACATTTCCCTGGTGGATGAAACTGATCTTGTTCCTCCCCCCAAAGTGGGAGAAGATGGAGGGGGGAGGCACAGCCTTTGTTTGTCGATTACGAATGAACCCCCGGGGACGGCGGTGCGCGGCGGTGCGCCATCCGCAAGGCTTAGGTTTCAGGTAAGGGCACAGAGGCGGGGCCGCACCGCGCCCGGCCAGGCGAATTAGCCCAGCGGCCGGCCAGCCGGGCAGTAATGCTCGGGAAGGAAGGCCAGGTCGGCGGAGTCGCATCGGCGTGACCGGCACAGTCAGCGACAGCCAGCCAAGTCAGGGCGGTCAGCTTGAGTTGGCCGAGCTCGACTAGCCAAGCTAGCGGAGCGAGCTAGGCGAGAGCGCCCGCGAACGCGGGGGTAGGCAGCCCGCCGCAACGCCGCGCGCGCTCACTGCCTACCTGCCGGGGGACCACGGCGACCACGCGTGGCGGGGCGGGGCGGGGCGGGGCGGGGCGGGGCGGGGCGCGGCGGGATTACAACCGGCCCGCAATGAGACGCACGGCACGCCGCGAAGGCCCTGCAGCTCCCGGCCCCGCCCGCCCCGCCTGCGAGACGCTGAAAAGGAGCGCGGGTGAGAAAATGATATGGGAGGGAGAGCGACCGGGAGGGAGAAAGAGAGGGCAATGTTATGCAAACACAGAGGCAGAGCAAGATGGTGTTAAATAATTTATTTTCGCAGCAACACTCCGCCGCGGCGGGTAGGAGGGGAGGGGGGCGGGGGGCGGTCGGCGTTCATAAGTCGCCACTACTTGAAGGAAGCCTGGTGGGGTCGGCGCAGAGCGGCGCAGGGCGGCGCAGAGGGCAAGTAGGGAGGAGTGGTGGTGAAAAGTGAAGGTGATGTGGCGAGGGGGGGGGAGGCGGGGGGCTTGATAAGGCATTTGTATGTGTGCATGTTTGCACGGCCCGGCTATGAGTGTGGGATTGGTATGGAGGGCGAGGCCGGGCCCAGGTCTTTGACGAGACCCTGGGCTCTGCGTGCGTGCGTGTGGGCGTGCGTGTGTGCGTTACCTCGTCTCACGCGGTGCCCTGGCGGCGCCTCCGCAGCGCCACACCAC